GTGTGTGTGTGTGTGTGTGTGTGTGTGTGTGTGTGTGTGTGTGTGTGTGTGAATATACGCGATCTTTCTCTCACACCAGTTGTTTTCCCGGCTGTTTGAATTATTTTCTATATTCTTAAATTCTCTATAAAAGTATGCTCCTCTTATTTCATCCACCCAGGGCAAAGGAACACTCCAGACGTACTTCCTGAAAGGCAAAGAAGGATTTAACCCTGCAGACAGTTTTGTCACAGGAGACGGCGACACACATTCCACCGACCACCACCCGCACCACCATCATCCCCACCACCACGGCCACCACAGTCCACACAGCCCCCACAGCCACCACAGCTACCACAGTAACCACAGCAACCACAGCCACCACCATCATCACCATCACAACCACAACAACCACCACCTCCATCATCATCATCTCAACAACAACCACAACCTCTCCGACAGCCACAGACCCAAGAGCAGACAATCCGTGCAACAACTGAACAGTCACAATCAAGTGACTCGAATCATTAAAGACGGCTCGCCAAAGATCGTTGTCTACGGAACTGACACCATTCACGTCGGAGACCAGGGTAGTGTCGGCGGGGGCAGCTCCGGAGGGGGGCGGGACACGCCCCTTATCATCAAACCGAAGTCCAACAAAGTTGCTCCTTTCGAGACCCCAGAGTCCCTTGTGGGCTCTGCACTATCCTTGAATGACGGACTCCCAGAAATTTCTATTGGATGAAACCTTGAGACTCACAGATATGTCTACAACAGCTTACTATCTCCATCGGATGACACCATTTTATAAATAGAATTGCTAGACCCAGGATGACCTCAATAATTTTGCAGTTTCGGGGAAATTGGGAACAGAAGTTGGGGGCCCCAGATCAGTGTTTATTCTACACTGCATTGTTGGATCATGCCTTGTTTTATAAAATGAAATTAGCTTATCGTCAACCAGCTGTTCAGATATACTGAGCCCAATTTGTTGTTTCCTTTTTTAAAAAAAATTGAATTTCAGTTACTCAATATGTCATTTCTGTGACATTCAAATTTTTACGTTGAAAAATGCTAGAAAAGATGTACAATAATATAGGTAAGCTTTCAATGTTCAAAATAGTGAAACAGTTTTTCCCCCTCTCTTCTGAAAAGAAAAGCTTTGTGGGCTTAGAACAGATAGTTTGCCGATGGTATTTTTCTTTTTCTTTAAAGAACCTGTCACATACTAAGAAATACTAAGAACGAAAAATAATGATTACAAAAACAACAACAACAATAATAATAATAATAATAATAATAATAATAATAATAATAATAATAATGATAATAATAATAATAATAATAATAATAATAATAATAATACAATAATAATAAAATAATGTAATAATAATGATAATCATCATCATCATCATCATCATCATCATCATCATCATCATCATCATCATCATCATCATCATCATCATCATCATCATCATCATCATAATAATAATAATAATAATAATAATAATAATAATAATAATAATAATAATAATAATAATAAAGAATAGAATTAATTGCCTAGCTCAAATTCCTGCTCATTAGCAAGTTCTATGCTTTTCACAAATAATTGATCTTATTATCCCAGCACAACTGATTGCATTCTGAAACAAACAAGTGGTCTAAAGATGCATAATTTATTGAAACCCTATTTTATCTGCTAATTTGATTCTTCTTCCAACAACAAATAAAATCAGCAGACACGGTGAATGCCGTTTTGTGCATGTGTCCATTTATCAGATTACGGGTGCAAATGTATTTGAAAAGTTTGTTAGACATTGAATGGGCGTTATGCATGACAAATTTCATTATTAAAGCTGTTAATGTTTCTTGATTATTATATTTTAAATTGATAATCGCCAAGGGCCACCACCAGTGTTTGGGCTCCATTAATTGTTATCATTTCTTCTTCTTCTTCTTCTTCTTCTTCTTCTTCTTCTTCTTCTTCTTCTTCTTCTTCTTCTTCTTCTTCTTCTTCTTCTTCTTCTTCTTCTTCTTCTTCTTCTTCTTCTTCTTCTTCTTCTTCTTCTTCTTCTTCTTCTTCTTCTTCTTCTTCTTCTTCTTCTTCTTCTTCTTCTTCTTCTTCTTCTTCTTCTTCTTCTTCTTCTTCTTCTTCTTCTTCTTCTTCTTCTTCTTCTTCTTCTTCTTCTTCTTCTTCTTCTTCTTCTTCTTCTTCTTCTTCTTCTTCTTCTTCTTCTTCTTCTTCTTCTTCTTCTTCTTCTTCTTCTTCTTCTTCTTCTTCTTCTTCTTCTTCTTCTTCTTCTTCTTCTTCTTCTTCTTCTTCTTCTTCTTCTTCTTCTTCTCAATTATTATTATTATTATCATTATTATTATTGTTATCATTATTATTACTTTATTGTTATTATTATTATTACTTTATTGTTATTATTATTATTATTATTATTATTATTATTACTATTATTTTTATCATTATTATCATTATCATCATCACTATTATTATATTTCTTTTTTATTTTCATTATTATTATTATTATAACTAATATTATTTTTATTCTTATTATTATCATTATTATTGTTATTGGACTTGTTATCGTCATCATCATCATCATCATCATTATTATCATCAGCATCATTATTATTATTATAGGTTTATTATTATTATTACTCCTATTTTTGTAATGTTATAATTATTTGTAATAATATCATCATCATTATCATTATCATTATTGTTTTATTATTACTATTAATATTATCATTATAATAATTATTATTATTACTCTGTTAATATTATTAATATTGATAATATTTTTAAAAGTTATTTTCTATTTTACATTACTTGCCTATTGATTTTTGAAAAATCCATCTTCTTTTTATTTCATTTTTTTCTTTCGGTTGGGGGGGGGGGGGGGGGGATGTCTGCACATGCCTTCAGAAGCCAGAACACTTCATCCTTGGTTCCTTCCAAACTATACCTGGTTACTTAGTGGGTTTTTTATCAGTTGTATCCTTAGCTTTAAACAAATTGTATTTTATAACTGATTAGATTCAACGTCTGCCTATAGCACCGTATTTGATCCATATCACTCGATTGTGGGGTTTTTTCTTTATCCTTCTTGAAAAGCATTTGAGGACAAGGTGCTTAAAACCTTACACCTAATAAAGTAAACATTTTAAATTAAGACAGATTAGTACTTTTTTCATAGAAGAAACAGGTTTTTTTTAAATTTCAGGGACAACGCTTTATCTTAATTATGTTGCGGCCTTATGGTTATAGTTTATGTTGGTGTCCATAAATAAGGGACCATTCCACCACTCAATATTTCGTAACACAGTACCCAAAATACATTCAATATATAAATAATGGACTAAACAAATCAATTAGCTTACAATTCTCTTCGATTACTACTTTATTCTCAGCCATCTTTTGAAATTATCCGTCTATTTGTGTAGTTCAAGGTACATAGGCCCCTAGATATCTAATTTTGGACTTACGATAAATTTATTGCATCCTATCAGTCCTACCAGAGCTGGAAAAATGCAATTGTTTTGTTTTAGTCGTGCTCGGTGGAAGGAGAAAAAAAATGTTTGGCCTTTTTTATGTGTAAGAGTATCAGGGCACTTGCAACACAATAAGGTCATACAAGTGCCGAAAAATAAATGTGTTACAAGAGAGTAACATACATAAAAAAGGAGGAGAGATCAGGATGATAGATGTTTGATAGGAAAGAAGGAGGAGAGATCAGGATGATAGATGTTTGATAGGAAAGAAGGAGCAAACCACACCAGAGCACAAATCGACCACCCACTTTGCCAGTTTAAATGTTTCCGGCACTTGTGATATCACTGAAAGAATATAATAATAATATTATTATATAATAGATTTGCGTGTATACTTTTCAATAATAAAGTTTATGCCAAGATGCGTTTTTTCGGAACGTTGTGTGTATTGTTCAAAAGCTGGAAACCCCGTTTACAAGGAATGGGGAAATGTCAATATGATATTCGATGATTTCTTTTCGTAACGTATTTATTTTTTTACACACTTATACGAATCTCAGCGTTGGCAATACTATGTGATACTTTGTTTTATTGGATTTTACTTTGTAAATATTATTATTGTGCTGTAGCTTGTACATACATGGAAATAAATCGGCCATGTGTGTCACCGCACTCTTCATTATTGAGTTGTCTTCACTTCGTATTGAATTTTAATCATAGATCACTTCTCTTTTGAATTTAGATTCCATCAGTATAGGTGGAAGAATGTTATGTTTTGGTCAGCTGATTGTTCGGTAAAATTGCTTGTAGGTAATTGAAGTGCAAGGATAGATAGAAAAAAGTGTGTGTGTGCGTGTGTGTGTGTATGTGTGTGTGTGTGTGTGTGTGTGTGTGTGTGTGTGTGTGAGAGAGAGAGAGAGAGAGAGAGAGAGAGAGAGAGAGAGAGAGAGAGAGAGAGAGAGTCGGAACAGAGAAGAAGAGGGAGACAATGGTGTATTCTGAAAAATATATTCTGCTCCAACAGTTACTTCCCGTGATTCGTGTACTGGTTTCGCTTGATAATGACAATTTATCATAAAGTTTGACACCACCATCGACACAATTAGAAGCATGAGTGTTACAGCAGTGGGCTGCTTTTGCTCTGTCTTTTTGGACTACCCGGCTTGAGAGGGATACAACAACATCCTGGCATATAAACTCAACTAAAGAGGACTCCAAAATCTAATGGCATGAGCATTTGGGAAATACTTAAGGACGGGCCACTCACTTGAGCCTCTGGCCGGAGGCCTAATTGTGTATATTTACAGGATGCGTTTTATCGACCGATATCTTTGGTGTTTTTCAGTTACAAGCTACAGGAAGCGGCAAACTAACAGTGTACAAACTTGTTTCGGTTCGTTAAAAATTTGGTGAAGTTATGTCGTGCGATACTTTTTGGGCTGTAACGGACTAAGTCAGTCACCCTTGCATTGCGACAGATGAATTTATTATAAATTGGGTGCAAAACATTATTGCGTAACTCCCAGATATTGTCATTTCAAAATGTTGATAAAACAGAAACTATTTGGACAAATTAGATGCAGTTTTCTTTTTTATCGAGTGCATGTCTCTCTTTCTCTTGCTGCATCAAAAACATTTTTTTGTGGTAAACCCTTCAATATACCCCAGAAGTGTCAAGCTGCAATGGTTGTTAGATGAAAAATAGCTCAAGCTTAAGTGAGTTAATTTACTATGTCTGCAGCTACGCAGGGCCTATCATCAACCTCCCCGTCGATTTACTTGGTAACTGATAAGATATCAGATGGATTCTACGGGTTTGTTTGTTTAAAAAAACAGTTCTGTGATAAGCAGCCGAAAAAGTTTTATAGTATTTAGAAACATGAAACATGATCGGGCATGATCAGAAACTCCAGGATCAGAGAACTAATGGGAGCAACACCCGTCCTCAACTACATTCAGAAGCAAACAATCAGGTAGTTAAAACTTCTGCAACGTATGGCACTTTCTAGCTCGCTATTAAAGATTACAATTAAACGATAATAGGGTACAAGGCAAGAGGAAGACCGAGGAAGACCTGGATCGAGAAAATGATAGATACCCCGAAGTCGCACAAATCCCATCCAGCCAGGACATTCAGCTTGCCAGAGACCGACAGTTATGTCTCCCCTAGATGACTCGATACGCTAGACGGTACAAGAGGAAAGATAAAGAAAAGTTAGCAAGCAAGTAATATAATTACAAATGCAT